CCCCCCCCCCCCCTCCCCCTGGAGTTTGAAACGGAGATGGATGAACCAGACCATCAGACAGCAGTCTGCTGACGTGAAGCAGGTCATTTTATTGTGGCATTAATATCACAGCTAAGCGGTAATTCACAGACCGATGCAGAGTATTAATGAGTACTACTAATGAGTACTGATCCGATATCAGTGTAGTGGAGCTTATAGAGGTAAAGAAAACGCTGCTGAACATTTTATCTACATCGACCTCGTTAGGACGTTTGTTCTGGAGGGTCACATAAAGTTCTGAACAACCCCCCTCCAATGAGTCCTGATCAGGTCTCAGCTGGTTTCGCCTCCTCACAGCCTCACTTCCTCTTCCTTTCCTTCCCTTCCTCCTCATTGTGTTTGTCTTGTTTCCTTCCTCCCTTTCACACTGGGCTGCAGGTTTGTAGGTCTCTGGATACATCCACACTAGTGCATTTTTCGTTTTAGAACATATATTTATATTTTAGCTACGTTTAGGCCGAGCGTTACTCTGGCGTTGTAGAACCCCTAAAACGGAGACGTTTGAATACGCTAAACCTCCGGGGTTGCGTTGAAGGGAGGAAACGGAGACCTTACACGCCCAGTTCACTACTTGATTGGTTCTTAGCAGTTGCGACGTGTCCTACCAGGTTAATTCAACATGGAGAACGGATTACTGGGCGTCGCTGACCTGGTTGTCTTTACTAGCAGCTGTTGTGCAGTTAAAATTATGCATTTTATAATTCTACTACTGCCGACATGCAGAGGAAGCGAGCGGTCTAATACCCGTACTAGATTAAGTATACGTACAATACGTATGTTAAATGTAGTACACCAAAATACCAGGATGCTCTGGTCACATTTGAAGTGTACAAGCCGGCGATTTGATCAGATTAAAGATTTAAAGTCGTCCAATAAAGAAATCAATATTTATTTACTCCCTGTGTGGTTCATTAATGAACACTTCATCATCATCATCATCATCATGTGACCATTGGAACCATCTGGAATTATTTTAAAGTTTATTTTAAGTTTATCCTGAAAGTCATTATGACAAATCAATACAACACAGTTTATTATATAATACAAACATATAACAATTATATATATACTGTGTATGTATGTATGTATGTATGTATGTGTGTGTGTACATACATACATACATACATACATACATACAGTCTGTCCTTCACACATTGTTGAATTAAAGGAGACAGAATAGAGAACAATGAGCTACGAGTTGAGCCTGTATTAGTTTATCATAATATAATATAATCTCCTCTCTGTCCTCAACTGATCCTCAGCAGCTGCATGTGTCCTCGCTGGTTCCTCTAGCAGCAGATCGGGCATCATGTCGGCGGCTCAGACCCAGAAGGAGAGCGGCGAGGCGGGCTGGGGCTGTCTGGAGGCTCTGGGTCTCAGTCAGAAGGACCTGGTCCTGGCCGAGGCCCTTCAGATGGAGTACGACGCCCTCTCCAGGCTCAAGCAGGACAAGAGCGGAACCACAGAACCCAGCCAGACCGGCTCCAGAACGCCGACCCGCTCCAAGACCCCCAATCCCACCATCGAACGACCGCGACCCACCCCCAGCCAGCCTGTTCCTGCCCCCGCAGGAGGAGGCCTGCTGAGGGGCCTCTCTGGTTCCGACCCCTCCCTGAACCAGCCTGGAGGGTCACGTTCTCCGTACTCCATGCCCACCAGGGCGCTGCCTCCTCAGGGAGGCGTCTTCAAAGAGTCCCCGTACATCCTGGACAGTCCGGAGGTCAGCAAGTTCAGGGACTTCCCCGGTTCCAGCCCCGGGGACTCTCTTGGATCCGGGTCGGGACTTCTTTCTAAGGGCTTCTTCCCCTCTCTTCCGGATGATGTCCCCCCCGCCCTCCCCCCAAGAAACCCCGTACCCACGTCGTCGGGGTCAGAGAACCCCTTCCTGCCCCCTCGAGCGTCCCCCGCTCCCCGCGACGTGAACCTGTTCACGCCCGACGTGGATCCGCCCAAAGTGAGTTCAGGAGAGCTGAACTACGACAACATCAACGACTCGCTGTCCCGACTCAACGGGAGCCGCCAGGGCCCCCGAGGTCGGCGGGCCAACGGGGACCAATCGGGGAAGCCCGTCGCTCGGAGTAAGACCCTCCCCCCTCAAGTCCCGCCCAGGACGTATGTACCGGTTCCCAAGAGCAACAAGAACCAACGGCGTGTCTCTGCAGACCCGGTAAGACCCGGCGGTTACACTGTAAAAAGAAAAAGGTTACTGTTAACCATCACAGTGTAAATAAAGTTTCACTGACGATCGATGTGTGTGTGATTGACAGGTGTCTCTGGGCTCCAGGATGAACGGGTTTGGATACGAACTGTTCCAGGTGTCTGAGGAGAGAGACGAGGAGGTGGCAGCTTTCTGTCACATGCTCGACGTGTGAGTGACACACACACACACACACACACACACACACACACACACACACACACACAAGCAAGCTGATAATACTTGTGTACTTTAACTATTCATACTTTAACTACATAAAGCTGATAATACTAGCCCAGACGTATCTGTAGTACTGCAGTACTGACAGTTTATTTCAACAGCTTACGCTCGGCGTACCCGCACAGCGACAGCTTGAAGAATGGCGGCTTCGTCTGGTCTCCGTCCGTCGGTCTGGAGGAGCTGCATCAGGGTCTGGGGGTCAGCGTGAAGGTCACGGTCATCAGTGAGCACTTCAGAGAGCCACTCACCTTTACCTGTGATGGTAGGACAGGATGTGACTGACTTCAAAATAAAAGACTGTCTCTCTGTGTCGCTGACTCATTGTCTCTCTGTCTCATAAAATCTATGTCTCTCTGACTCTGTCTCTAAATCTGTCTCATTGCCTCTCTGTCTCTTTAAATCTCTGTCACTCTCTGACTCTCTCTGACGTTTTCTGTGTCTCTGACTCTCTGTCTCTAAATTTGTCTCTCTGCCTCTGTCTCTCTAACTAATTGTCTCCCTGACTTTCTGCCTCTATGCCTATCTGTATCTCTGACTTTCTGACACTCTGACTCTGTCTCTATGCCTCTCTGTCTGTTTAAATCTATGTCTCTATGTCACTTTGTCTCTGACTCTGTCTCTCTAAGGTTCGTCCACGGTGGACCTGCTCATCTATCAGACTCTGTGTTACGCTCAGGACGATCTGGATCACATGGACGTGGACGACTACCTGCTGAAGGTCTGTGGACACGACGAGTTCCTCAACAAGTAAGAACATTCATCAGTCCGCCCGTCTTCTTACTGTGTTATTATTGATATTGTTGTTATTATTATTATACATTTATTATCTAAGTGACTGTTGTTGACGTCGGGCGGATGTTGTTGTGGTTTCTCATCATGTGACTCTGGTGGAAAACCCCTCAGATTAAATACTTCATATAACTTTACAACGATGATAATAATAAAAACCAACGATAGTAACAGTTGAGCTGCTGTCTGACAGACATCACAGCCTGCTGCAGTAAAACTGATCTGTGGTCTGTGGTTCAGACTCTGACTCTCGTAATAACAGAGTGCAGCTGAGCTGTGGCTGCTGGTAGACCAGCTACACTAATGTTCACCCACCAGACAGACCACGCACACACACACACAGCTATGCTTACGTCGTTTCTGATGTTTATATATGAATCTCCACAGAGTGTGTGTGTGTGATGTCAGTGGAAGTGTGCTTCAGTCTGATAAGCTGCAGCTGCGAGAGGACGACTGAACTTCCTGCAGTGAAACAATAACTGTCTGTCTCTCTTTGACACACATGTAAAAACAATTAGATTCTAATGTCAAAATATTATTTACACAAAGAGAGATCTCCTGTTTGTGAAGCATTTAAAAATGAATAATAAAAAAGTACTTTAAGTAATCTACTCTTAAACACTTTTACAAGACCCCCTTTGTAAGACAGCCTATCCTTTTTTTTTTTTTATTTGATTATTTTACTTCCTAATTTGAATTATAAATTAAATGTGTATTTGAAAAAGAAGGAAAAAAACCTGATTAGATATAAAAAAAACTAATGAATGATCTACTTTAATTCTTTACATTTAACCGCAGTACAAGACCACAAGAGGTTGTTTTTGTTTTTATACTTTCTTTCTGTCTCTAACTGTCCATCTGTCTGTCTCTCCGTCTCTCCGTCTGTCTGTCAGCGCTCAGACTCTGGCCGGTCTGGAGTTTGTTCAACAGTGTCTGAAGTTCGACTGGGACGTCCGACTGGTGCTCACCAAGAGATGCTCCATCAACACGGAGCTGTCCCGCACGGTCTGGACTCACACACACACACACACACACACACACACACACACACACACACACAC